AGGGCACTTCCAACAGTGAAACCCTTGTCATGGCAAGGGGGGCTAAGGCAGATACTATTCACATAAATAGTGTATGCCTTTGCAAAAAGTAAGGTGCACTTCCAGCAGTTGCTATGGCAAAGGGCAAACACTATTCATTTTTTATTTTATTTTTTTCACAAATTTGTTTACCTAAACAATTAATTTGGACAATATTTTCGAATAAGATTTTCGGTTTCAAATTTCAGATAAATTTCAAAACATCTTCCATGATGCTCCATGCCCCTCCGGTTTCTTGAGAAAAAGCCATAATATGACAGAGAAAAATTAAACTTGAAAATGAAAAAAATATTGAGTAGAAAGTGAATAATAATTGGAGGAGGAGAAGATGTATGAGGATTTGTTATTAAAAGTGAAGAGTAGGTATTGGTATTTATAGAAAATAAAAATTCAGATATTTTTTATAAAAAATTTCGATTTTTTTTCATATTTTTTCGCAGAAAAAATGTACTGCCTTTGGATTGAAGGACAAAAAAGAAATCCGACAGCCCAGAAGCCGCCACGTGGCACCAGCCCTCGGGGCAGCACACAGGCTCACACAGCCTTTGGGCCAGTCCAGGCCTGTGGCCCCCACATCCTGGCCGGGCCAGCAATTGCTGCTGGAATCGCGTTTTGGGCTCAGCCCCCCCTCAGCCCTTGCCTTCGGGCACTGCTGGAAGTGGCCTAATTGTAATCGCCGTAAATAGGCTCAAGGTACAACCTAATGCAAATAAAGTCTATGAATCCAAACAGCGACACGTGGTAACCATGCATAATACAAGTAACTGCAATGATCGGTCATACGAATTTCAAACCCGGTCTATGCGCCACATACCCTATCTCTCTACTTTTTGGAAAAACTCATCTCCCAACAATCCGCCACGTGTCAACTACCGTACAAAGACAACCAATCTCAACCATTCCCCTTTCACCACGTTTCCGCATCACCGTATCTGAGCAACACATCGACACGTCGACATCACTCTCCGTAAAAGGTGCAGACCAGCTTGACCCTGCCGAGCTGCGACTCTCAACATGCGCGCCACGTTGCAGTCTCTCAATCCCATCCTTCATGAGACGCGGGCCCCGCGTTTTGCCTAACTGGGACACGTGGCGGTTGTGAACGATGCCACGTAGCACTACAGTCATGGGAATTCGTGGTGTGAAAAGGACGGTAGAGATTCGCGGGGTGACAGCAAGATCTCGCACCACGCGTCCGTACGCAGGTGCCAGGCTGTCAGAGCGCGAGAGCTCTCCGCCTATCCGTTGTTATTTACGGATGCCAGGCGCGAACACGTGTCCGATTCTAAGCTCTCCATGCACGTGTGCCACATGGCGCGCCCTGAACCTGCGAGCGTGCTCCATGGGCTCAAAGAAATCTCCCTAACACTTGAGAAGAGTTTGTTTCCCGCTAAATTAACCCTTAAACAGGCGATTTTCGATTATTTTAACCAGCGGTTAATCAGGATTAGTGGCGAAGAGTTTTACTAATCCCGTCCGCTAAAAATATATCCGAAAATATCCTACGTGTCTACCCACCGTCTCTGTCGCCTTCTACTCTTCCGCCACGTGGCGCCCTCCCTCGCTTCCCTCCCCAGCTATTTCCTTACCCTTTTTCTCTCCTCAGAAAATCTGAGAGCAAACCCTAATGTGAATTTCAAAACAAAGAGAGAGAGAGAGAGAGAGAGAGGAACTTTCTTTCATATAAATACGAAGCTCCAGCTTCAAGCTTGAAGTTTTCTTTTTTCAGTTTGAGGCTCTTTGATACGTTGAAAATTTAAGCTTTACGGCAATGGTGGAGGCTTCTGAGCCCGGATTGAAAGAGGAGGAGATTGAGCTCGATTTAGGGTTGTCAATCGGAGGCAGTTTCAGAAAACCAGAGAAATTGCAGCTCGTCAACGGCTTCGGCTTGGATCGGAGAGAAAAGGAGAACCAAACGGCCTCGTCGGAGCCGGAGAGCGCGCTTCGTGATTCGCAGACGAAGCGGGAGATCCAGGCGCTGCGGAGGCAAGAGGCGAAGAGGAAGCGCGAAGAGAAGAGAAGCCGAGGAAGGAACGAGGCCCAAACAGAAGAGCAACAACAGCAACCGGCGATCAAGAGAGAGAGAACAGAAACGAACGTAAATGTGAACGTCAATCTGAATATGAGTAACGGCGAAACGGAGCCCCTCTACCCTGTTCAACCGGGTCAGTACCCGTACCCGCCGGTGCAGTTCGTTCCATACACGAACGGCTTCGCGTACCCTTGCGCAATGCCGTGCTGGGCGCCCAGCGGCGGCGGCGGTTTCAGGCCGTTTCAGGCGCATAAAAATTTGGCGAATAACGGGTGCGAAACGGAGCAGAATGGTGGAGTTGGTAAAGCGACGTCGTCGAATGGCGGATTGGGTAAAACGGGGTCGTTGAATGGGTCCCCAATGTGTAGCTCCTCTACCGTTTCTGATCATCAAAGCGCAGCTTCTCATGAAGGTACTGTATACATACTCTAAAGTTTGCATATCCTTTGTTTATTATTTTGTTGAAATTGTTTTTTTTTTTTCTGCCCAAATAGAATTTTGTTTTGATTTTTTGGGTTTCGAAATCTTTTAGGTGGTGGAAGCAGTGAGACCAGAAGCCATTCAAGCCAGAGCTTACCAGAAAAAACCCATTTGAACAATGGTTCAATATCAAAAGAGACCAAGGCCCAATCTGAACACACAGCTACCTCCAACTCATTTGAATCAAATTCTCAACGCAATGATCAAAAACTGACTCCCAAAGAAGAACCCAAATCAGAAAACACAGAGCCAGTTTCAATCCCCAAACCCATCTCATCAAATGGAGATTCTGCAACTCCAACAAGTCCTCCATTGAAGGAAATTACCAAAATGGACCCCGTTGCAAAGCCCCCAAAACCCAAAACCCAGACCAGTTCTCTTCCCCAAATGCCTTATGTCTCCACCACGGGGAATGGCCCAAATGGGAAAACAATTCATGGGTTCTTGTACAGCTACACAAAATCTGAGATCAGCATTGTCTGTGTCTGCCATGGAAGCACATTCTCACCAGCTGAATTTGTGCAGCATGCTGGAGGCACTGATGTATCTCAGCCTCTGAGACACATAACTGTGATCCCATCTGCTTTTGGATGATGAGAGCTGAATCTATCAGCTGATATGGAAACTGACCCTTTTTCATTTCTGGTCGTCTTTATCTTAATTTGCTAGCTTTTAGCTTTTAGTTTTTGCTTTTTAATTGCAGCTGATGAGGGTTACTTTGGTGGGGATTTGCATACATGTTGTATGCAGAAGGGGATGGATAGATTGATGGGAGGCAGGCTATACCAAAACCTCAGTTTTCATGAGTTCTTGGCTGGAAAATTAATGGGACAGGCAGAGGCTTATTTTTTGCTTTTTATTTTTTTATTTTTTTTTATTTTTTTTATTTTTTTATTTTGTGTGTGTAAAGTTTTCCTAAATGTGATTGGCGTACAGTTAGCATCGGATATTCTTGTATATAAATCTGATATCCTCTTCTATTTTTTCCAATATTTTATTTAACATACTTCCTACAATTAATCCCAGCTATTTCAAATTCTTAAGGTGGTGGGAGAGAACTTGAGCTTGGTTACCTTTTTCTCTGTGGCTCAATACTATTTTTTATTCGTTTTGGGCAAACATATCAATATATGGTATAATTTTACTTACTTGGAATGGGAAAATAAGAAAGTAAGATATCGGGGAATTTAGGAATATGGGAAGTAAGAAATCGGGTAACGAAATCGGAAAACTGAGAAATATGATATCCCATCTAGTTGATCAAATTCCTAATTTAGGGATAATTTCTTTTCTTCTGATACATATTTTGATAAATAAACATGTCATTAATGAGATCTATTTTTTTTGTTTCCCTTTATTTTCTCTCTAATTAATCCCAAAACATAGAATAGCCCAGGATCAATGTGGGCAAAAAAAGCCCAATGAAGGACGCGTGGGTCTAACGGGTAGTCATTGGCTTAGCCCAATTTACCAGCTCCCGTAAGGCATAGGCAGCTGAGCACTAAACAATTGCTCAACATATTCAACAAACACTTGAGTTTTATTTTCCCCCAAAACTTTCCATTTTACCCATCCCATGGGTGTGCTGAGCGGCAAATTGAGCAAAACTCTTTAATTTGCACAGAGACTATGAAGCAATGAATACCCTATAAAAAATTAAAGAAACTTGGCTCTAAATTTACATTTAAAATGCATATTTTTTTGTGACTATCTAAGTTTGAAGTAATAGGCAAACGTGATGTAACCTAGTGGAAACGGGCATTGACTTGCAGACCAATAGTTTCATGTTCAAACCTCTATGATGTCTTGATAGTGCTTGTGTGAACCTCCATGGCACCTTAGTGGTGTATATGTAAAAAACTCCACTCTCCTTGTAGTTTAGACTATCGCTTGAATAATAAAGAGTGAAGTAATAGACCCTTTGAATAAAAAATACATTACTCGCATCTTTAAAATAAGCCACATACTTTAAAAAATGACTCATTTAACATCTATTGCTATCATGAATCACATGCGCAACTAAATAATCATACATTTAATGCATTAATGTTTCATAATTTTGAAACCGTGAGGTTTGCTTTCAAGTACCCTAACTAGTGTATAACTCACAACAATAATCATCATAATCTATATAAAATAATAGTAAATGTGGGTTACACCAGTTAGTCAATATGTGTTCGCCTCATTGCACCCAGATTCAAACCCCCTCTTTGTACGTTGTAAAAAAAAATTAAAAAAAATCACTTAAGACTTCACATTTGTTTTATTTTATTTTTTGTCCTCGTTTTTTCTTTGAAGGGGGGTTTGCTACACTTTTTGTCATTGGTCGTGGACTCAAGGACATTGCTAAACTGTTTATTATTTTTTAATCCCAAGATAGAGGAAGTTTAATTAGAAATAGAAAAAAAACAAAAATCATGCATTACGGTCGCAACAAATAAAATAAAATAAAATTTTCATTTTCCCTTTCTCGAATATAAATACCCAAAACCCTTTTCGCTTCCTCTCTCCCTTCCCTCTCCCTCCTCCTATACCAACTCACTCGCGCCTCTTGAAGATCCACCAAAACCCTAGAAACTGCCAAACCTCCCTAAGGAGGTGAGAGAAGTCGTACAGCACCACCGACCTTTTCCTCTTCTCTCACCTCTCTCCCTCCGATCCACGCTCAGGTGACTCTCTTGCTCTTCAAATCTCATACATTACCTCTGCTTTTCATATTCTAAGTTTTTTTTTTGTTTGTTATTTAAGCCTGCTTTAGATCTCGGTTTGTTTCATAGAAGTCTAAAATCGCCTTCTTTAGTTGGCAGTGAACGGATTTAAGGTTGAAGAGAGTCTTTTTTCTTTCTTAGAATCTATTTTGTGTACGGAATTAAGCTGAATTTCTGTTAGTGGATAGTTTGAGCCATGTTTCCTGATGAGATTCGAGAAGAACATTTATTTTGAAAGTATGTATATAAATAGCGCGAGGAAATTATTATTATTTATATTGTTTTGGAAAGGTTTGTAATGTGTCTTCAGTTAACTGGAGAAAAAACTTTTCAAATCTCTAATTGAAAGAATTGGAGTAGTATTTTAAAAATAAAAGGGGAAAAAAGAAATGCAGTATTCTTCAATATACGTTTTAGTGAAATCATCTGTATCAGTTTTTTTGGTTCAATGTGTAATGATGTTGTTTGGTTTCTGGAGGTTGATCAGAGATGACGACTCCGGTGCAGCAAGCCCCAGCTTCAAATCTCCCTCCTAGTGCCGATGTTGTATGTATTGATACCTGAACAGTAGTTGATGATTTACTACACTTTTGATCCTGATGGTTGCTAACGGATTTGGAATGATTTTTTTTGGGTTAAATATAGGTTGGCAATGCATTTGTTCTTCAGTACTACAATATCTTGGAACAATCCCCTCAGCTTGTTCATCGATTTTACCAAGATATTAGTAAGCTTGGTCGTCCTGGAGATGATGGGATCATGAGCATTACAACCACGATGGATGTAAGCTCCTTCCGAGACCCAACGTTCTTTATCATTATATTAATGCATCTGCATGTTCATGCCAGATCATATTCATAATTGTTATTAAAGCAACTTATTTGGGGCCTAGATGCCTATGCCTAGGAGTATTGTTAAATTTTCCCTTTGATGCTTTTCATTGGTTATATATATTATCTCCAGAAGCTTAGAAAGTATAAGAAAAACCTAAAAATTATGTTGCACAAAATATAGAGGCATTACAAGTTAAAAAATTTAAGAATTGTACATTTTTCTCAGCAACTAAATATAGAAATATGAAGTTATGAATCACAGACGGAATTGATGAAAACTGTGAGGGTAATAATTCCTTTGGATTTGTTTATTATATTTTACTGGGCAGGCAATCAACAAGAAGATACTTGATTATGGAGAGCTCAGTGCAAATATCGTAACTGTGGATGCTCAAGAATCTTACAATGGGGGAGTATTTGTCCTTGTCACTGGGTTTTTAACTGGAAAGGACAATATAAGGAAGAAATTTACTCAAAGTTTTTTCTTGGCACCACAAGACGTAGGCTATTTTGTTTTGAACGATGTTTTTAGATATGTGGATGATTCCACCCCTCAAAACGGGGACAATGGATTGGTTGTTGATGCTGCTGTTGAAGCTCCTCTTACTCCCAAGCATGGTATGCATGATTCTTATTTAAATGTTAAAGTGTGTACTTTTGTTAGCTCTAATTGAGTTTGATTCTTGTTGTAGATACTACTGCTTTGCAGGGCTATCATGTCTCAGAGCCTGTGGTAGTAGTTTCTGAAGATGTTGCCAAGGAGGAAGTATACAATCCCGCTGAAAATGTAGAAGTTTTAATCGAAGAAGAGGAAGCACCTGTATCAGAGGTTGTCGATGAAATTCCTGATGATTCACAGGTGGTGGCTGAATCTTACTCTATAGTCGAAGCTAAATCCAACTCCAAAGTTGAAGCTGAGTCCAACTCCAAAGTTGAAGCTGAGTCCAACTCCAAAGTTGAAGCTGAGTCCAACTCCAAAGTTGAAGCTGAATCTAACTCTAAAGTTGAAGTCCCGAAGAAGTCATATGCCTCAATCGTAAGCAGCTGTTTTACTATATCTCATGTCTCTAAATATTTTCAGATTTGTAAATATCGTGTAATTGGTTGATTAACTTAGTAACGCAATTTGTGCAAAAGAATCTCACTTTTCCTCTTTCTTTGTTGTTGTCCACACCTGATTCTGGGGCTTAAATCACTTGTTCCAGCTTAAGATTATGAAGGAGAGTACTGTGCCATTTTCTACTCCCGCACCTGCTTCTGTGAGGTCTGTCCCAAAGAAGCAAGAGCAGCAAGTGACTGCTGCTCCAACATCTGTTCCAGTTTCGGAAACGGTAGTTTCCAGCACAAATGCACGAGAAAATGGGAATCTAGAGGCTGAAGGTATGCAGTTCATTATACTGCTATTTAACTTTATCTCTGTTTCTTATCCTTCCATATGTTTGCTTAGTAACTTTGGTTTCATGTAAACAGCTGAAGGTCACTCTATCTACATTAAAGGTCTGCCAATGAATTCTACAAATGCTCTTATTGAGAATGAGTTTAAGAAATTTGGACTGATAAAAAATAATGGGGTGCAAGTTAGAAGCCAAAAGGTTTGTCTTGAGTTTCTCTATCTTTGATGTTCGCAATTCTTCTGTGAAAATACTTATTGTTCCTCCATCATTACACAGGGCTTTTGTTTTGGCTTTGTGGAATATGAGGCTGCAAGTTCTGTACAAAGTGCAATGGAGGTATTTAATAGACGTTGTTGCACATCTTTTTTTTTTCACGATCCATTATATTGGATGTTTGAAAAGATTTATGTATGTCTATTTGTTTGAACCCTATGAAGGAGTTTTTAACTTAAAGGAAAGTGGTGTTTCAGTTCGTTGCATGTTTCTTCATTGATGCACTATGTTTTTTCATGCCCCGATATCTTGGATGTTTGAACAGATTTATGGTTCTGTTTATTTGTTTGAAGCCAATAAAGAGTTGTTAACATAATTGCTTTTTAATTTATTGCTTGTTTCTTCTTTTATTGATAAAAACAAAAGAGTCCATTTGATATTCTAATCCATTGATTTTACAAGTGTTTATGTTATTATATTTTTTTCATGTGCTTGTGCGGATAATGTTTTTCTATTGGTGTTGTAGGCTTCACCCATCATGATTGGCAACCGTCAAATTTTTGTTGAGGAAAAGAGATCTACTCGAGGTGAGTTGAATTTTGTGCTGAACATTGTGTTCAAAATGGAGATTGCACATTTGTACCCTCCTTGATTCTAAATCTTTTACAACAATTTTTTGCTTGTCCATTTCTATGTGTAGGGAACAACAGGGGACGGTTTTCATCTGGAAGGGGCAACGGCAATGGATACCGGACTGAAGGTGGCAATGGTTACAGGACTGAAGGAGCAAGAGGACGTGGAGGCTATGGAGGTGGTCGAGCTTATGGACGTGGTGATTCCGGTTTCAAGTCTGAATTTGGAAGTAGGAGTAGCAATAGGGGAGGAGCACCGAGTCGTGGAGGTGATGGATATCAGAGGTCTGATCATGGTGGTCGTGTGAATCGTCCTGCCGGGGTGGCTGTTAATACAGCGGCCAAGAGTACAGCACCACAAGTGTCTGCCTCAGCCTGAGAAAGGCCAGGCTTCGAAGAGGTTCATTGGTGAATGAAGACAAATTAAATTTTTTTCGAGTGACCGTGGTGTAATTGTTGGATAGCATGAAGAGGGCTGTTTATGATCTGTTTGTGGGTGAACCACCTAGGAATTCCCATAGGATTTTTTTCTTTTTGACTTTTTTATTTTCTTTCGGCCTTAATTTTGGAGTTATTTTGGGGTTGATAGTGGTGGTAGAATTATGCTTTAGTATATGTTTCTCGATAAACTACTTGTAGTAGCACCGTTGCGCTGTTTATGTGGAAGGAAATTGGGGAAATGAATTAGGATTTAGGGTTTTTGATGTGTTGTAATGGCTGTCTCGTGTTGGTTGTAGGTTTCCCTGATTAATGTGGGCTAATGTTTTGCGGATGGTTCGTTCTGTCATTTATTTTCTAGCCTTGTATGGTATTGGAGACACCGAATGCCATCTATTGTTTACTTGATTTTGTGCATCGGTACAAACTCGACCCTAAATCTTTTTTGTTTTCATAAGTTAATAAAATCATTTCATATTAGGAATTCATCAATTAAATTTTATCTATTCCATTTGAACTCAGTCTGAGAGTCAATTTTTTATTTATTACTAAATTAATATACTTAAAGAATGCAAAATGTTGCAATCAACTAAAATTTTTAATTCTGTTTTGTCAATTCAAAACTTGCGACCTGGTCCGACCGGCGTCCAACTCTGGCCGGCTATCCACATCCTCCGGGGACCACGTCAAACCCCCAAGTGTACATGATCAGTAGCCAAGTATCAAACCTTGTAATATTTGACTACAAATGGATCTGACTAACACTTGGCACAAACACTTGTCAATACGGAGGAAGTAAATAAGCATCCGCCATTACTTTTCTTTTTCGAAATCTATCATACTTGAGATATTTGGCGTATTTTCACTAAACTTTGGGCTTGAGGAAAAGAAGATAGTTGTATACAGTCTTCTCATATCAGAGCCCTCCAAGGCATTGTTCTGATATTTGAGAGATAGGCTTGAAAATTGGGCAGGTTATATGAAGATTGCTACATTCTTCAGGGTCCAATAGCAGCTAGCTAAAGGCAATTTACTGTAGATATATCCACCAACTTTCAATAATTAACATCTTCCAAGTAAATTGAAATTGTATGAAACAATAAAAAGAGGACCTAGATTAACATGGAAAACATGTATGCTACACTTAAAATTGATGCATATCTTCCCTATCCTTACTAAGAAGAATATAACTGGTTAACTTGAAAGGAGTAGCAATGGAACCCACAACAAGGAGATAATAGCTTACTAGCTACAAGGACTAGCATTGGCAGATCCTCCAACTAGAGCTTCAGCAAACCCTGTTCATTTAAAGACCAAAATTGCAGGCTTGAACAAACTCCATATCATAATCGACGTGTTTTTCCCAGAGTGGCCGGAACTGGCTCATGGCTATATCAAGCCAAGGCTTCATGTTCCCATTGAAATGCACCACTGCGGCATTGCGAATCTCTTCCATGCTGATGCTCGGATTATAGCCGAGTCCCAGAACATGCCATGACTTGTCTAGAGGCTTTGTTGTTGAGTAGAATGTGATTAAACCTGGGGGAAGTGTCCCCAATTTCCACAAGCTACGGTTCTCATTCTGCAATGAGATCAACATCCCTAGTTAATGCTACTCCAATAGACCACCAGTCAATTACAAATTTAGAACCAAATCAACAAAATCAACACAGAGATGTCCCGAAACAGAATAGTTAATGAGAAATGACATGATAACATCTAAAAAGCATTACCAGTGAGACATTCTTTACCATTCCCTAAAACCCTTACTACAAGGCCAACTAAAAGCTTTACGTTTGAAACAAAAAAAATTGCAAATGCACAGAGTCTGCACAACCTAACATATTCAACTTATGCATATATATACATATCAGATACCACCATATTTATTTGCAAATGTAAGGATTCTGAACAGAAATTTGACCAAGAAGAAAAGTAAGTAATATCTTACCAGATTCTGCCAGTAATGATACTCGGCAGTACAATTCTGCCTTCTCCAAGCATCCAAATCAAAGAAGTTCATTCCATAAGCCCATGCACACGCATTGGGATTGAACTTCTCCTTAATCAAAGGATGTGAGAAATTCATGTACTGCGCATAACGATGGAACGAACCAAAACATGTCTCAACCGCCCCATTCACCTTCCCATCCATATCAATCTTCCACAAACCAGTTAAGTCCTTCTGAACCACTATATCATCATCCAAGAACAGAATTCTATGCAATTTGGGGTACATTTCAGGCAAATAAAACCTTAAGTGGTTCAGTATCGACAAATACTTGGGATTCCTAAACTTCATGTTTGTTGCGTCTTTGGTTGCATTCTCGAGCTTATTCTCAAAGTAAAACTGTTGCAGCTTTGCGTTCTCCAATTGCTTGAGCACCGGCACATACGAAGAATTCAAGAACTTGTAATCCTCCACAGCCTTCACTTCAACATGTGACCCATTATAGTCCTTGCTTTTAAACATAACCTGCATTGCTCCAAGATTCATCTTATCAGTAACTACATGGAACACATGCTTCCATGGCTCCTTGGCGTTCTTCACAGCCGAATTCACCACCACTGATGCGGCAATCACATTATCTGAAAATATAGCATAATGGTAAAGATTGGGGTCCTCAATTTCGGGCGGAGTGGGCTTCCCTTCATCGGTATACTTCTCAGGATGTGCAATTCGCTCCTCCATCAACCGCATTGCAACGCAATGCAAGCTTTTGGGGATTGATTTTGCGGCAATCAAGCTGGAGAAAGCTCCTTGCTTCTTGGCCTTCGTCAGCTGCTCGTTCACTTGGAAAATAGTGTCCTTAAGCTTCTGAATCTTTAGCTGGTTATCGAAAGACTCTTTGGCTTCGGCGATTACTTGTCTGGTAACTTTGATTCGCTCTTTCACTTCTTTCTCGAACTGGCGCAGCACTGATTCGTCGATGTTGAGCGCGTCGGAGTCGAAGAGAGCGCGATAAGCGGGCTTGTTCATGAGATCCGAGTAGTTTCGCGAGAGATCGGCGAGGACCCGAACGAGCTTGGAGTTCTCGAGCTTCAGCTTCCGTGCATAGCTAGCATATGCCAGGGCTAGGGTCCGATGATCGTCTGCTTGCTTCCGGATCTGGTCCAGTCGCGGCTTCAGAGGATCCGATTTCAGAGCAAGCACCGTCCTTCTAGTCGATCCCAATCCGTACGAACCAGAATTGAAACCCTAATTCACAATTAACAACAAAAGATTACTAACTGCTTCGATTTTTGCAAACTTTTTCTACTTGTCTATTTCCAGCGCGGGAATGGAAACGAAAATCCAAAAACGATTAGATCCCGAAATGAAAAACATGAACTTGAAACTCCATTGAAGCAGAGAAGCAGCGAGAATGTGAGAGATGAGCAGAGAACACTTACCAAGTCGGTGAGATCAGAAGTGTCGGTTTGGGAAGTGAAGACGAACGAGAGAGAGATGAAGAAGACGACGGCGATTGCAATGGTCATAGCCAGAACTCTGAAGGACGCGGTGGAGCTCCTCATGGCTCCTCCTCTGCTGTGGGGAGAGACTCGAAGGTTCGCCATTTTCGATTTGGCTTTGGCTCCTCTGTGTCTGTGAGACTCACACTTCTTCTCTCACTCGGACTCTGGCATTAATTTTGGATTTTTTTTAAAATTTTTTTTTCTGTTAATTATTAACTGTAAAACGCGGATCGGCGAGTGCGACTTGGCGGTGCTTATTAAAATCCCAAAAATGTGGGGCCCAGGTTAGATTGCTGTCGTTTTTGACTTTTGTCACTTGTTCGTTAGTGGGATTTTGGTGTTTTATTAATTAGTTAATTACGCATTTGTGAAAAAATAAGAATCAGTTAATTAAGCATAGACCCAATAATGTCAAGTCTCAACTCAACTCAAGACACATTTACCAAATTGTCTACCTTATTAATATGTGACAGTTAAGTTGCTAATTAACATGGGTTGATTAATTAGTAATTTAGTACTCATTACACATCAATTCTTACATTTTATCATCAACTAATGTGACATTTAATAGTTTTCTATTGTAAAAAAATGTTATTATATCTATGCTACATACTAGGGTTTTTAGTTTCGGTTTATGCGTCGTTTGGGGTTTTATCTGAAAAGGCCCCAATGCAATTTATAAACAGGTCGTCGAAAGATAATTGTATAATTTCGGATTGCCTTGGATGCTATTGCTCGTAACATTCATCAGGTACCATGGCAGTTGGGTGCACAACCACTCCCATATGATTTTCTTTCAAACAATAACAGAGCATGCCATGTGACTTTTTTTGGTAGCCCAAGAGTACTCCATTATTAGAAGAACATACTCCTAACTCCATTATTAAAAAGGCAAGGCTACTTTACTAAAGAGAGGAAGGGTGGTCTCTTCTTTTTACCCAGAGAAATATCAAAGAGCTAGATCTACACTGTAATTAAAGAAAAGCCACTAATAAACCGAAACTAATTGCTATGGTAAGAAAATGGGAATGATATTTTCAAGCCATTGATAGAAAAGCCACTAGCTAAAGTTGTGGGGTCATTGATCAACCCTAATCTCAAATTGGTCATCATAGTAGGCTTAGAGTAGGTTAAAGTACATGATGAGTTGACTCTTTTAGGAAACTTTATGTGGAATAAATTGGTAACCTAGAAATGAGTAAGATGGATGGAAACAGAGGAACAATCTTATTTTATAGTTAATTAGTGGAAGCTAATTTATATCATAAAACAAAGGGACATATTTACTTGTGGCACTCTTAACACAAATACACATAATTGCTTCTTGAATTTAGCATGCATTAACCAAAGTAAATCTAAAAATCTAGTTAAATCAATGGTACCCCTTCTTCCCATGCTTGGTGACATGGTGCAACCACCCAAACCCTTTGAGGGCCTTGGAAAACTTGACAAGATTAGGCCTCCCCATGCCCAAATTCATCTTCCCTGCTGAGAATTTCAATGCCTGCAAGCAGCATAATTGCCCATCAAAATCCTCCTCTTCCTCTCCATCATCATCATCCTCCTCAACCTTTCCGTTCTTGCCCTTCTTTGACTTGCTTTTTCCCTTCATGGCTTTAATTGATTCTGTCTCATCATATGTCTCCCAAAGCATGTCCATGCCCTCACCTCCACCTTCCACATTGTGATGTCTCTCCTCAAAAAGCTTGCAAGCCAGTGTCCTCCTCCACTCTTTCTCTTTCCTCATTGAACCAAAACTTCCAAGATTTGGACCCATTAGCATTTGAGAGTCCTCAATAACTTTAATGTTGTCTTCTCCAAAATTTGCTCCTAGCCTTTGGGAATTTGACATGGATTTGGAAGTAAATTGATCTCCATCATAATCAGCACTCACTTCACAAAAACTTGTTTTACTACTCAAATCCTTGGATGCTCTTCTCATGGACCTTTTTTCTTTTTCATCTTCATCAACTTTATTGGACATTGTGCTTGCTGGCTTGACTTCTTCTTTCTCTTCCTTCTTGCACATCAAATCTTTTGACCAATTCTCCTCTTGAAAGAATGCTGCCAATGTCTCCACTCTTGGCCAAGCAAAAACCTCAGCTGGTTTTTCATCTAAAACATCACTTGCAGCTTCCAGTGGAGCAGAGGTAGCATTGCCTTCATTGCTGGACACATCATCAACTGGTGCTTCAGAGACTTGTGAGCAGATTTCTTCAACTGGGTTCTCGCTAATCTCGAAACTAGATGTATCAAACACAATCTTATACACTTCAAGCTCTTCGAAAGATCGAAACTCCTCGTGATCATGATCATCACCATCACTGTCATCTGCTTTAGACTTCTGCAATCTTTCCAAAACAGTTTGGTAAGTGGTCACAAGACAACCAACCTTGATGCTGGACAATTCGGAATTGGCAACGTTGTCTTGGACAAGTGGGGGAGTGACAGTGAGGTAAGCCAGGACAAGAAGGGCAGTGGTGATGAAGAGAGGAGACAGAAAAGAAAGGAGCTTGAGGAGGTATGGTGAGAAGAAAATGAAGTAGGAGAAGTAGAGAGGGTGTGACAAAATGAAGAAACAGACATTGAAGAAGTCAGCAAGAAGAAGACTAGAGAATTTAGTCTTCTTGGAAGTGTTTGATGAGAAAGAAAATTCAGACATTTTGATGGTGGTGTTGGGGTCTAAGGGAGGAAAGAAGCAAAATCAGAAGGATAGATGGTGATATGGTGAACAAGGAAAGCTTTGGTGTTTTCTGTGTTTTTGTGTTGAGTAAGAAGAGAGAGAAGTGTGAAATTGGAAGTGAGAGCGGCGTGAATAAAGGAGAGATAGACTGGGAAATGATATTATGAGAGTGAGAGATTAACTAGCAGCAAGCTAATAACAATACCAAAAAGCAACTTTATAATTCAGATTAATCAAAAGAAAGAGAGAAAGAAAACATGTTTGGAAACTTTTCTTTGCTTTTTCTTTCCCATCCACAACCACCCAATTATGTATGTACCATGTCTAAAATTTGGATTTACCAAACTGACCCTCTCTTCTTGAAGCCCTTCTCAATTCCAAGGGTGGGATCTTTGCACAGATACAACTTCTCAACAATGATCATTAATTTTCTATAATGATCACATGCACATAGTTATATGGATGTAGTAGAATTGCTTAAATATTTGTATTAAATTAGCTTGCTAGCAGCTACTTGCTACCAAATGATTTAGGCAATAAAAACTTGGTTGGTCTCCTCTAAAACATGGAGCAGTAGAATGCATGAATAAACCAGTGGAAATGTAAACTTTCGTAATTTATTATAAGCAAAAAGTCATTTTTGATATGTGTATTTCGTCGGTTTTATATCAGTTTGGTTTCCATAGTTTTAATTTTGTCAATTTAAAAGATGAATTTTGCCCGTTTTTATATTAAGTATTATTTGAGGCTAATTAATCAAGCCTACTACAATTTAACTAGCATCCTATGCATTCTCCACTATTACACCAACTCATCATCACCCACTTTTGTTTAGTTACTACCATTTGTTTCTTTGAAACCAAGTTATTGAATTGAAGTCAATCTAATGGGGACAGGGCCAGCAATGTAAATAGAGGATGAAGAAAATACATATAGGTGGGTGAGGGAGGAAAAGCAGCAATTACAATCTATGAAAGGCAAGAAGAAGAATAAGAAGAAGAAGAAGAAACAGAAGGTGTGATTGAGGAGTTGGGTGTTGTTGCACATGGGAAATCACTCATGGTCACTCAAGTGCATGCCATGCAATTGCATTGGCATCCTTTCTTTTCTTGGTCTTCTGCCTTTCTCACCTCTCAAGGGACCCATCTTTGTCTCGTCACTCTTCTGGATCATGAAATCAGGGGCACCGACAGTCATTTACCACATTCTTACTCTTTCATTGCTCAAGTTTTGACCAGTAAATCAAGTTTTAATTGTTATTGAACTGAGAAAAGTTATCCAAAAGAGAGAGTAAGCAAAGGAAAATTGAGTACAAAATTTAGGTTCCCCTTTGGGGATTGCACAATTTATGTACCAATTTGTGTTTTCACCATCTAAATTTGCCTTGGTGTAAGTATGAGACTTCTTCGGCAAAGGATAATGAGTCTCATTCATTGGATCCTTGTCCAGTTGTGCTTGAATAGTAATAATAGCTTCGTACAAGCACTCTGCGTTGAGCTAGAGTCACTAAATCTCTCGTAGTGTTATACGGTTTAGGGTTTAGTATATTCATGTTATAACATGGGTTTTCTTTTTTAATGTTATACCTTATATAAACTCATCGTGCACTTATATTATAACACCTGCGTAAATTAGTAATAATGCATCATAGTGCGATTGTTTTTATCTCACACTATTGCCAATGTGTCAAATGTTCATGCGAACTGAAGAATTACATGCCCCCTTTCTCACCAAACATGAGGGTTAAAGGAAACAATTCAAATTATGCAAACACACAAGTATTTTTATAAAAAAAAAATTCAATGTGACAGTCATATCGACACATATATTACAAATCCACATGGTATAATATGAGTGCAAATCATGGTTAAACAACACTATTCTTTATTATAACTCATTAATTCATCCGAAAATACACTTATTTGTGAACAAATATGATAACGTGCTATTATAGGTTTACATATCTTCCATCAAATTATGCAAACACACAAGTATTTTTATCAAAAAAAATTTCAATGTGACAGTCATATCGACACATATTTTACAAATCCACATAGTATAATATGAGTGCAAATCATGGTTAAACAACACTATTCTTTATTATAACTCATTAATTCATCCAAAAATACACTTATTTGTGAACAAATATGATAACGTGCTATTATAGGTTTACATATCTTCCAATTAATTTTATCAAGTTAATTTGATTATAATAATGTTTCATATTTAAAATTGGGTGTATTGAGAAATTTTAAGAATCTCTTAAACCTCACCCTCATGGCAGGTTTTTTTAAGTTCTGCTAAACGAACCCCACCCTATGATTTAAGTGCACCTTAATATTTAAATCAAATTGTAAAATTAACTAAGTACACCTTATTTAGCTACCAAAAATATCCTAATACACTCTAATACAATCTATCACAATTCAATATATTAAAATTACATTTGTTTTAAATGTAATTTAAAATCCATTTGCTATGCCAAGTCAAATGTTTGTGTGCTTCCACCCGATTGTGAGAGTTCACTATGCTAAAATTTTGCGTCGGCAATGGATAAAATCCATTTCCTATTAGGCTACCCTACCGCTGTATCATTTATTGGTACATAGGAGCTAGTGGTTGCTTGGGCTTTGAACCTTCTCTTCCTGTCTTAGCAGCTACAAAGCAAATAACATATAAGAAGTATGCTTTTTGTAACTTTGAACCTAATACAATTGCAAAAGTTTGCAAAAGTTTTCTGAGTCTCAACTGCTCAAGAATCTTTTGAGTCTTTATTGGGATATTTGAAGCTTTCTGTTTCAAAAAAAATGGTTATAGAGGTGGAGGAAGAGGAAGAAGAAAGGGCCCTAAACCCAAGAAGAGCCTGGGTGAATGATGATGGTGATGGTTTTTGAAGGGGGTTCGGTATTATTGGAGAGAAGAGGAGGCTTGACAAGCGATGGAGGTTGATAAGTGTTTGTCTGCCTACTTCCCTCATGGCTTCGCCATTTCGTGGCCATTTCTTATTAAAATTATATTTGTTTCACAATTTAATATATCATTTCTTATCATTTTATATTAAAATAAATTAGTAATTCAATAAATAGTTTGACAATAGAGTGTACTAAATTAATTTATTTTTTTTGGTGAAAACCAAGGTATCCCCCGCGCGATTGCGGGGACTAACCCTCGAGGTACTGTCGGGCGCAAAGCGGGGACCTCTCCCAACAAAGTCTGCTCTATTCATAAGCGCTTGGGATCGAACCCAGGACCTCTTGTTTAAAGGATCCAAGCTCCTTCCACTTGTTTCATCTAGCATCACTCTTGTTTTTTTAGGGCTGGCTCTAGCATCACTCTTGTTTTTTTAGGCCTGGCTTTTCCGACCAAGACCAATATCGAGAACAAAAAAATCTGCAAAAACCTGAGACAATATGGCAAAAGAGGAAAATAAGAAAAGGTGGCAGATACATACGTGAGACAAAATACATATAATATTCTACTTCCTTGGCTCACCCCAGGCAAGCTCATTTTGCGTTTTTCCAGGGGTTTTACTCTCGCCAACTCACTGAGTCACTCTGACTCGCCGCGTTCTCTACGCCTTCCACAACCGGCCACCACATTCTCTGCCTCTGCCTCTGCCTCTTCCTCTTCCTCCGCCTCCTCAGGTAAAAAGGAAATGACTTTCTCTTTCAAATGGCTTTTTTCTTTTGTTTTTGTTTTTGTCTTTGTCTTTTGCTTGATGGATGGGGCCACTCTTAGCTTGTTTGCTGGGTTTCTGATCATGGGCATTTCTTGGGTTTATGAGCTCAAATGCACAAGAGGGCTCTTCATTTCTGCATTGAATCTGCCATTTGTGAGAGTCTTGTTTTTATGTTTTGGCTATGGTGGGTTGGGGGGGGTTGACCTAGATTTCCAAGGTCAGACATTATGAATTTTTTAGTTTTGCAGATGCTTTAAAATATATATATATATATATACGGATTCTTTCAATTTTAGTCCCATTTTTACACGATGGGTTGATTTTGGGTTGCCATATCCAACTTCAAGATGACTGAAATTTATTGTCACCATGCACTAGTTACAGTCATTCCATTTGGGACCAATTTTAGATTGTATAACCATCAAAGCATTTTTTTCTCTAGTCACTTTAATCAAAGGCACAAAAAGGGTTTCAAGTAACTATCTGGGGAAGTTATTGTTAATTTTTCCCTTATTTTTAAATAATATCGTTCTGCTGTTGTGAAATTTCTGAGTCACTTAGCTACATGTATTTGCATCCTAGCTTCTCACAACTATACACACTACAATTTCCAATTCTTTATAGATTTTTTTTTTAGATTACTTTTGGGGTGACCAAACCATTTTAAGTTGAAATGCACTTTTAGATAATGTTGCTAGTTGGTAGCTTTTTTATCCTGCTCACTATAAGTACTAGTTTCATTGGACAAGCCTTTAACGTTCAGAATAATACTTATGAACCTAGTTGCTGAATGGTAAACGTAACCTGTTCCTCTGAAATTCATCGTCCTTTAATGCTCTTTCTATAGCTACTTGCATTCTGTTTTGATTTCCTTGTTCATGTTTATATATCTAGTGTTTGTAGATTAGAGTACTTTAAATTGTTCTGACAAAACTGTATAATCCTTCAATGACTTGTTACCACTTGAAACTCAAACCTATATATATTTGCATCGGTATAATTAGTCTGTTTGTTTATCCAAGGAATGATGTGATTCGTGAGGAAGGCCACCAAGTGAGCTCTCTACATCCATAATATTGAAGCCATGGTGAGCATAAGAAGAAGCAAACGCTTGAGACTACGCGCCGGTAAAAGTTGCTGAAATGTGCTATATCACATATGAATAAGTTTGGGCCTATTCGTACTAATTTTAATCTGTATAAATCACCTCTAAATAGGTTCTTAATCAGTGACAAGGAGTTTTCTGATGCCTGATACACTAGGTTCTTGTTTATTCTTTAAGCTGTGTAACTTAGTGTTTAGCATGCTTATTAATAGGAGTTTTCTGCTGTATAACTCACATGTCAGCGAGTTGATTTTTTTTAAAAAAAATTTAGTGAATAAAAATCTGATTGAATATGTTCTTTTTTATTCTTAAGTATATTGACCAAATTGTACGTCTTTGCAGAGAGTTCTGTTCTAGCTCCAGTGCCAAGGTTTTGTGACAAGGGAACTGCTCCTCAAAATTCTACACAAACAAAACCAGATAGTGTGCAGTCAATTCCTTCAAATGATGTGAACCTGCCCGAGGGGGTAAGAATAGATTACCAATCAGTCCATGTTATTGTGTCACATGCATCAGATGGACCATTCTTTTCTTTAAAGGTTTTGTCTACTGATTAAAGACACTTGTCAGGGTTCCTAAAGTTAAAGAAAATCATCTGTAGGATGATAACTCCCATCCTGATTTTCTCCAGAAACAGTTCAAGATTTGTAGTTATATAACTAAATTTTTAGAGCACTTGTACGAAAATAACTGAAAAATCTTGGTGAGGAAAAAAATTTGATATGATACATCTTCTGGTGTTTTGGCTAAAATTAGAAAAGAATACCTTTTTGTTTCTTTGTCATGGTTGGTTCTGAAAACAACTGCTTATGTTCCTGTACTATGGCGCTTAGTTCCTAGTTCCTGTACTATAGAAGGTTAGAGAGCAGCATGTTCCTGCTCTATTCTTTGTTATGCCTACTTATTCATCCGAATTAATTAAAACAAAGCAGAATAAAGAAATCTAAACCTCTATTTTGGAAGAACCAAATTGGTTTCTCTGGCTAGTTTTCTTTGTGTGAAGTACTCAGATATGATCAAAACACAATGTGTTAATGTGTAAAATAATTACTAAGAGGTTTATATGCCAAAATAAATTATTTCCAGAATGCGACTCATACAAGGGCTCCCTTTGAGATTATCAATGTGTTGAGAGAGCCAGCTGCAGCAGAGAGAGTTTTGCTGGGCTTACTTGGCCCTGATGATACCAGGATTATGCAGGAGTACAATGACGGTGGTTTGAGGCAAAACTTATCCCACCATGCCCTTGGTGTAAGTGATTGTCCTCAAGATTTCATTGCCTTACCATTTCGGTGTTGATCTGAATAATTTAATTTTGCTACTATGTCGATTATTTCAGGCCTGCCTCCACTTTGCCATGTGGCTAAGGGAAAATGGAGAGTCTTCCTTGGCCTCCAGGGAGGGCAATGAAGCCAGAGCTCATGTTGCAGAGCTGGAGGAAAGATTTAAATATGTTGAGGAGATAATGAAGCATCAGGTCCAAGAATATGAGTCTAAGCTGAATGGCCTGCAAAATAATGTTGATCAGCTGAGGCAGAAGGCTGATTTCTGTGAGAGGAAATGGAAGGAGCAGGAGGCCTTGCATCAGGAGAAGGCCACTCGTTTGGAAGAGGTTTTGAGGCAGCTTGAGGAAGCTAACTCCAATCTTGCCAAGGTCACTCAAAGTCATGACACGGCCAGAACAAGGATCGAAAAGCTGACTGGTGCTGTCACTCTGAACAGGAAGCTCTACGATCAGGCTGAGGTTGAAGTGAAGAAGTTTCAGCAGGATTGTGAAATGGATAGGATCCTTGGGGAAATAGAGAAGGAAGAGCGTGCGAAAAAAAGGATTGCTCTGACCACCGAGCTCAAGCTGAATGAGGACTTCCAAAACCAAAACCAGAAGAATGAAGGTGGGGTCATCCCAACGTTGGAGCTAAACAAAGATGTTAGTAAGCAGGTCATAGAAGCCAAAGACCTCAATGGAGAAGTGGAGGCCCATAATCCTTCGACGTTCTGGACAGTTTGCAGTAGCTGCAAATATCAATATGAGTATGGCAGGGTTTATGTAAATTGTCATCTCCGCTGCAGTAGATGTCGAGCGGGATTTCTGGCTTTAGAAATTTGTCGACCACCTCCAATTGTCAAGTCATCCAGTAACTCTTTTGACCAGCAACATCGGATTTCAAGACAACTTGTTGATACGGGAAGTCAAGTAACTGCTAGTGGTAAGCCCCCATATCCTGGAGCGGTCTCCCCAAAAGACCTTGGAGGAAGCTGAAAACCGGCACAGACCTGGATGGAGAGGGATCCGATGATGCATTCCAGGATTTAGAAGCAGAGGCTCCGGGTGCTCTATCTTTGAGTTGGTTTAGAATGAGCAAAAAAGAGAGAGGGAGAAGAGTAGGGAGGGAGGGTTACATATTTCGTGAACTTTTTTGTTTTCTTGGCCTATCTAACTAAAGGCAACTCTCTCCTAGCAAAGCCCTTTTTGTATGGTCAACTAGCAAAGCCCTTTTTTATTACACTAATAGTGGGATCCACACAAATACAACTACAGTATTATCAAGTTTTCATGTCTTTTTTAGAAATAACTTTAACTTTTCTACATGTTTAGAGTTATTGTGACTAATTAATTCATCCGAAATTCATCTGTGAACAAATTTCATATTTAAAATTGGGTGTATTGAGAAATATTAAGAGTCTCTTAAACCCACCGTCGTGGCATTTTTGTTATTTGGCGTGGGTTTTCCGACCGTGACCAATCTCCGAGAAAAAAAAAATCTGCAAAACACTGACACACAAGATGGAAAAAGAGGAAAATGAAAAGAAAATAGGCTTTTTATCACAAATGGTCCCTGAGGTTGGTGAAATTATCGCCTTTCGTCCTTAATGTTTTTTTGTGACACTAATGGTCCTTAAGGTTACCCTTCACACATCAAAATGGTCCCTGACGTTAACTTCCGTATTTGTGATAAAAAGCCAAGAAAATAAGGTGGCAGATGCATGAGACAATAATATTCTATTTTCTTTGCTCGCCCCAAGCAAGCTCATTTGGCTTTTTCCAGGGGTTTTACTTTCACCAACTCACTGAGTTACTCTGACTCGCCGCGTTCTCTACACCTTCCACAACCGATCACCACCTTCTCTGCCTCCGCCTCCTCAGGTACAAAGGAAATGACTTTCTCTTTCCAATGGCTTTTCTTTTCTTAAAGTCTTTTGCTTGAGTCAGACCCCAAAAAAACGAAGTCTTTTGCTTGATGGATGGGGACCACTCTTAGCTTGTTTACTGAGTTTCTGTTCATGGGAATTTTTGGGTTTATGAGCTCCAAGGCACAAAAGGGCCCTTCATTTCTGCATTGAATCTGCCATTTGTGAGAGTCTTGTCTTTATATTGTGGCTATGTTGGGGGGGGGGGGGGGGTCAGACATTAGGAATTTTTTAATTATGCAGATGCTTTATTTTTTATTATTATTTTTAATAAAAAAAGATGGATTCTTTTAATTTTATTCCCATTTTTACATAATGGGTTGATTTTGGTTTTGCTTATATCCAACTTCAAAATGACCGAAAATTATTGTCACCGTGTACATGATGGGTTACAACAGCCATTCCATTTGGGACCAATTTTAGATTGTATAACCATCAAGTCATTTTTTCTGTAGTCACTTTAATCAAAGCCACAAAAGGGTTTCAAGTATTTTCCCTTATTTTTAAATAATGTCTTTCTGCTGTGTGAAATTTCTGAGTCAGTTAACCACATGTATTTGCATCCCTATCTTCTCACAATACATACTTCAATTTCCAGTTCCTTATAGATTTTTTTTTAGATTACTTTTGGTGTTACCAATTGAAAAGTTGAATTACGCTTTTAGATAATGTAGCTAGTTGGTAGCTTTTCGAGATTACTTCTTTCATCTGACGAGCATTTAACCTTCAGAATAATACTTATGAACTTAGTCGCTGAC